TATAATATAATATAATATAATATAATATAATATAATTATAATATAATATAATAAGGATGACCCGGAAGACTTGATGGACCCCCGTGACACCCTCTAATAAATTGTTGGACCCAATACATTTAATTCAAATTTTATTTTATCCAAATCATCTTTATTAAATCATTTATTTATTAATATTGTACTGAACAAGACTGCAATTCGGTTTTCAATGTTTATAAACTCTCTAATGAAGTTTTGCACCCAATAAATTCAATTTACTGTCAGTTTTTTCAAATCACAAAGCAAATTTTTTTAAATGATGTTTTTTGTAAGCCTTATAACTCGCTTACGGTTAATCCTACAACAAAAATACCAAGGACTGTTTTTGTAGGAAATTTTGTAAGCTTTAAGTATAAAGAAAGCGTTTAAAAAATTTGTAACTCTCTAGGATTTTTTTCCACCGATCGCTCTATTTTTGTCTAATTTCACTGGACTATTAGGTATTAATCAATTTACAAATTTCTTTGTTAATAGCAAAATATAGGTATATTTTAGAAATGAAAATGAAACTGAGTCATAAAATTTCTGAAAAGAGCTCAAAAAGGAAGTAGTGGCAGAATGTTCTTAGTGAAAGATTTGTCACTTATTTAGTGTGAATATGTGAATAATTGAGTACATTGTTTACAAAGTTTTACGACAAATGAAGGTCAAAAATTATGAGTATTTTATAAATTATTATTTCAGTCCAGTTTTCTTCACAGTATCATACCAACTATGTTTTACATAGTGTAGGTACAACAAAATAAGTATTCGCAAAACTTCAAATTTTCTTTTGGCATTGTAAAGACACTAATCCAGTCTGGTTTATGCCAGATGAGGTAGAGGGAATATCTACACAATTTTTGTCTTAATTTTTTACTGTGAAACGAGCATATGTTTACTTGAATACCTCCATAAATTAGATCAGATTATTTTACAAATAAAGTCTGTTTTTTTTAATGGAAATACCAAACAGTTTTAACGTTGGCACGACAAGTAAATTTATTCATAGTAATTTTAATAAAGAAACACCAAAAAAGGAACAAATTCGGTACCGCCAACAGTTTTTAGAAATTTGGAAACGAATATTTTGCAAGCAGGAAGTCAGAAAAAGGGCCTGTTAAAATGTAGACATTCTTAATTTTTAGCAAAAAATTGACAAAAATACAAAACAAACATGAATGAGAAAGAACCTCGGAAAGAATGTAGTTAAATTAGTGTCTTGTGCATCGTTTTTGAGAAACGAGATGAAAAAGTAACAATTTTGAAACTAAAGCTGAAGAAGAAGTTATAAAATGCATCAACTTTGAGCTCATTTCATAAATTACACAAAATTTATTGCCATAATAGCTTCTTGTATCTTTTGCTAAAACTTTTTTTCTGTGCATATACTTATACATCCGTTTTCTTCAAAGTTTTTGTAGCAAGATCCTTATTTTTGTCCACAACATTGTACTTACTTACAGTGTGGCTCTATCAAAATTAGTAGCACTGCATTCTGTCTTTAGACCTTAGGTACAGATGTCTGTCCTCAGGTATTCAATTATAGCACTTTCAAAGAGCAAACAGGCACACAAGATTCATAAAAGTCAAAATTTTGACAACATCTCAATTGGAAAACATAACCATGTTTTTTAACAAAATTTCTAGGGTCAAAAACAAAGAGCAAACAAAATTTGTGGCTATAGAGACAAGTTGCTACCAATTTTTTCACCAAAATTTTGACTTGGTAATTTCCATTTAAAGAAATAGCAGACTATATGATAAATAGCAAAGTTAACTTAGATAGTTTTATGGATTTCACTTATATTTCACATATTGACTAAAATTCTATGAATTAGAATTTATATGGCAAAAGTTAATAACGCTGCAATAAAATGTAAATTAAGGGTCGTACCTACTTAAACCTACGCAGGGCCGTACCCAAGTGGGGCATTAGGGGGTTCAAACCCCCTCCTCCCGAAATGCTGAGCACTTTGTTGTATAGTGTTATAAGTGTAAAAAATTTAGTTTTTTTTGTTTTGTTATTTTAGTGAGTTAATTTTAAATTTTTGTGAATTAATTTTTCATGTGTTAATTCATCGCCGTCTCCATAGAAATAATCCTTTTCTCGCCTGGGCATTTTTTGAGTTCAAGTGATTCCCGTTGGCGCTTTAATCTGGGGAAATTTTTTTGACAAATCCAGTTTTTTAGCTTAAAGGGTTCAATCTCATAATATCAATTCTCCCTGGCGTATCTAGTTTTGTTGTATCCTTCCTTCCCAGCATTTATTAATTGCGTTATTTTTCGTTAATAATTAAAAATTATTCAGTTTTTCCTTAGTAACCCCCGTAACTAAGAAAAAATCGGAATCACTGCTCCGATGCATTTTTTACGAAATGCCCAGGCGGGATATTGATACATTTGATTAAGGAGGCGGTGGTTAATTACAGTGTTTTATTTTTATTGTTAGGTACAAATTTAAATAGTTGATAGAATATTTAATTTTAAGACAAATTTTTTTCGAAAAATTCTATGAAAGGGAGCTACACTCCCTAAAAAGGTACGTTTTTTAAAGGGTTTTTCCTAATATTTCAGAATAGACAAAATTACAAAATTTGGTACCTTTATATGTACACCTAAACAAATGTCAAATAACAAAATTTTTAATCAGGGGCGTCTTAAAAGGTAAAACAAATTTAATTTTTAATTTTTATGCTGTTTATGGTCTGTAACATAAATTTTTATACCGATTTTTACCGTAAATCCGTAAATTGTATCGGAAAAACATAAAAGACCTTTTTTATGAAAAACTATGAAATTTTGTTACTGAAAGTGGCAAGAAATCACAGGCATAATAGTAAGAGTAAATTCTTACACTAATCCCATCTAGTTTAAGAAGCCCCTAATTAAAAATTTCAACATTTTATTTTTGTATTTGTTTAGGTGTATGAAAGTTATCATCTGTACCAAATTTTGAAATTTTTTTCTAAAATGATTTCGGAAATATTGGAAAAAACCCTATTAAAAAACGCACTCCTTGCGTAGCATTTTTCGATATATGTTCATAGAAAATGTTTGCTTTAAAAATGAATATTCTATCTCCTGTTTAAATTTGTAACAATAAAAAGTATTAAAAATTTGTTTTATTTTTTGTTACTTTTGTGAGTTAATTTGTATTTTTTATGTTTAATTAGGATCTCTTATTTCAATTTAAAATAAAAACGTGTACTTAGAGATTTTTGCTTTTTAATCCTGATTACGGCCCTGAACCTACGATTTAGCAAGAACTAAGAAATATTTTAACCACGAGTTGGAATATGATAAAATTCCAACGTGTTTACAAAAACTTGAGAAATCAATAAATTTTTAAATCAAAAAGCATTCTAAATTCTAATTGTTGATAAATATTCGTCAAATTTCTTATCACTTGTCTCATTATCGCTGAAATTCCGTTCCTCGTAAGGTATGCGTAACAGCCAGTGGTGGCGCCTTCGCATCCAAACCCCCAAAGAGATTAAATTAAATCCGAAAAACTTCGGCGCCCCTTATAAGGCCAATTCAAAGTGCGCAGAGACGACTTTCCCAATACGCAGCCGCAAGTCAGTGATGGACTCCCGTTCAACTTTAATACCTCCTACCACCTAGTTGCTCTTTCTGCTTCACTCAGTTATATTTTGTAGTGCGTCGAGAAAGTTCGTGTTAAAAACTCCATGAAATCACCCCAGTAAACAAAAGTTAGCAAAGAACGTGTGGGACATTTTGTTATACAAAATGTGTGATACAACGAATGCCTCGACGCAGAGCATAGCGGACTATTTAGCACAGTTACTCAAAGATAGGAAACAACTAGCAGCCTTTCCCAATGTGTTTATTCACGTCGAGCGTCTCTTGGACGAAGGTGAGTGCTCCACTTGCCCCCCGGGCGAATTTTCGCCCCCTGCAACGACCCTCTGCCAGTGGCGTGCCGAATTTTCGCGTTTTTTCCCCTAAATCGCCGATATCGCAAACATGTGATAGGTCATGACGTATTGTTGACCTAGACGCGCCGCTTCTGATCGTTCAACCCAGAGACTCGTTCTCCGGTGTGGAAAAACACGCGAAAATTTTCGAAATTTCACACAATTGTGCTGTCTTGGACAACATTTATGAACGGCAGGCGTGGCTTTATTACGCTCGCCGCCTCGGTATGTAGGTAACTCGGAGAACTCGATCGCCACGCCGGAGACCGGCTCAGTAAATTCATTTGTCCTGAGACAAAGCAGCGACTACTCTGATAAGTCATTTGCCAATTACCGACGATGATGTCAATATTAGAGTTTTTTATAACACGTGTGGGCGTACTGGACGTTTTTCCACTTCACTTACTCATTATTTTATGGTACCCTTCCATGGGCGCAACAGGTTGATGGATACCTGCGCTCAGTCGTCATTTGTTATGCACCCCTTGTACGATTTCATTGGTTAATAGTGTGTCAGATGGAGATAAGATTTCGAACTTTTTCAGATAATTTTGATTGGGTATCGGAATTTGTCCTATTGTGACTGGTTGATTGCTTTTTCAAATTAAAATCCGGTTAGCCGGAGTCATAGTCTGACCGGAATAAATATCAAATGTTTATTTGAATAAATTTTTAAGCGCTACTGACGAAATGTTTCAAGTTCGGAGTGATTTTATTGCAAATGTCATTTAAAACGTCACGATGGGAGATAATGTTGACACACAACATGCTATTGATCACGTTTTAAAGAATCAGATTTTATTTATGCTTATCGAGATGTTGAATCACTTCAAATAGCACACATTTTCTTTGCCTCCTTTTGATCTCAGTGTGCTACGACATGATGATATTCTTTATCGTATTTAAACGATCAAAGTTGATCTTGTAATACAATCATCTGTGCTAAAATAATCATGAAAATATGTGATAAGTTTTCCTGTGCTTCCTTCTTGTTTAAAGGTGAATGACATTTTATCGGCTGAGAGTAAAAATGAGACGATTTTGGAAAGTCTGGCTAAGTAACAACTTGGCTATTTGCCTTGCAGTTAAATGCATTTGAAATTTTTTCGGTGATTTATTGGAAAAAAAGTCCGACGAAATATTTTGAATTCTTTTCAACACGAAACGTAATTTGTCTGAATGTTACAGTTATAAGAGTTGTGATGAAATAAAAAATACAAAAATAAAAAGTTTTTACAGTTGTAATAGCAAGATAACAATGTTGTGTTAATAAATTATTATTCTTAATGTTTGATTACATTTTTTTAAATAATTACTTACTTAGTGTTTATTTTTACTTATAGGTTCCTGTGACATCATTTATAAAATGTCATAATGTTAAATATGTGACTACAGACTACACACCTAGCTTACCTTTGTTTGTGATAAAAAAATTATTCATTTGATGAATTTATTTTTAATTATTTGAATAAATACATAATTATGAAGATAATTTAAAAAATATACATATTTATCTCTGGTTTTAGCTAATCAAACCTACATACATATAGTCCATTTTCCAAAAACGGGTGTTGTAAAAGAAAAAAAAAGTGAAATTATATACAATATTTTAAATTTTTTAACTACAATTATGTCAAAATGCTGGAGGCTGGAACTTACCTACAATCTTTTCATTATTGTGGAACTGGTCAGAATCCACTTCTGTAGTCAGTTCCAAAATTGTTAAAATAAATATTTTCGTTTCATCACATTGTAAAATGTAGTAGATAACGATCTTGGCAAAAAAATCTGGCATATACTTTTTCAGAGTAGCAACATGTTGAAAAAAGGGTGGAAGTAATTTCCATAAAATGTTCCAAAAGTTGTCTATAAATATCCAGGCTTTGCGAAAGTCGCCGATATTTATAAACTATTTAAAGCAAATAATCACGAAAAAATGCCAAAAATTAAATTAGCTTCGATACAATGTGTTAATTCAAAAATATCTTGTTTTTGTCAGATAACATTGTTGTTTTCAATCATGCAGAAGCTAAAATGAGTACATGTTGCTATCGACAACCAGTTTTTGTATTTCTTGTGTTTGTTAGCTGCACCATCAGGTAATAAAACTGCAAACTTGCCAATACAAGTCATCGTAAAATTTTAATTTCATCGATAAACTTCTCGAGGGGAATAATTTAATACGAAGGGATTATTTTGGTTTAGTTTGGAGATGTTTTATCTCACTGGAGCCTAGTTTCAAGTAGACATCTTTAATCGTTTTAATTACATAAACTTCTGTCGTGGATGTTACATAAATCATAAGAGGATTTAAAAATAAAATTTAGACCCGATCCGAGTAATTAGGGAGTTGGCAGTGTGTTATGAATATTTTTGAAATTTTGTTACCCAACAAAAATGATAAAACTCAAGAAAACTCAGTGCTTGTATAAATTGCCTGCGGTATTTACAATTTACATTCCTAAATAAACGTCAATTTATTATAAACACCTGTTGCACTTTTCTCTGAATTTATCTGCAGAATTGCGTTATTTTCTTAAAATCGAAAATTGTGCCATGTGATTCAGGTAAATTTTGTTGGATTATTTCATAATATAACTCTTTGTTCTTATTAAAAGAGTAGAACTAAATGATTCTTGCACGCACACTTTGAAATGAGGTAACGAGTAAAAATGGCTTATGCCTTGTCACCTGAATTATTACGTTAGTTGACTGTCTCACTGTGTTATGACCGCACCTATTTTGCTAATTAATAGCACACTGTTTATGCATAACGCGAGAAAATCGTGAAGACAACAATTGTTTCTAGAGGTTTCCGTGTAAAATGCGCTAGAAGCTGATTTATCATGGAATGTGTAGTGAGATTTATTCATGAAGTCAAATCGTATAATCTCGGATTGAGATACTTTCGTGATTAGTGTCAGATTTTTTTCTTTTATCCGTAATGATATTTAATGCTAGTTCTGTTATTAAGGTTTTGTGTCTATTAGATGATACGTAATTTTGAGGTGACAGTTGTATCATTATTATTATACCAAAGACGGACAGCATTGCAATAGATGAGGTCATGTTTGTTACAAATTACTAGTTGTCATTTCTACCAAGATGCAGTAACTATTTAATTTTCAAATACGACTAAGAATTAAAAAAATACAATTTCTATAGCAATAGTGTTTTTTCAACTTTTCATTATCATAATTTACCCTAAAGTAAAATTTTTACACGTTTTGCAACATTTTTGTGAAGTGTTTTAAGTTGGCAACAAATCTGTGGGGATTTTTAGCGCCATGATTGGCTAAGTTCTTAACTAACCTGAATTGTGAAATGTTGCTCGACTGTTTCAAACGCATAGTCATTTTTGAAAATTTTTATTTCTCTTGTAAATACTAATATCTGGCAATAGACTATAATTCCAATTTCCTTACAATTAGTGGAATTTAGTTTTGATAAGAGATTTGGCACTTATTTAATTTAATTTAATTTGATTGATGACGATATATCAAAATTAAATATAGACGATTTTTGAGACATCTTATTCACATTTTTGATGGTTATTAAAAGCAGTTGTAGATTGATCTCTGGCACACTTATATTTAAGCAGGAGTAAGTAGCAAATTTTCAAGAAATGTATTCTAAACAACTGAGGGTTTCTAAGGTGTAAGGTGCTTCATTGTTGCCAACTTAATTTCAGAATTACAGGCCCTTTTGATCCGAAGCTTAGTAGTATGTGTCTTGATCTTATAAAAAAGTAAGATCAAAGAAAAGTGCATAGAAATTTTAATTTGCAATAATGTAAAAGAAATATGCCCACTTATGAAAGGTCATAATTAAAAATAGACAAATTTTTAATATTTTATGCACATTCCTGGCAGTAAAAAAGCAGTTGCGAATTGACCTTTGTCACATAAAATTTTATGTTTGAGTCATTAAAATTGCTGCATTATTAGATAATCAAAGGTGCATTTAGATCGGGGGAGGTAAAATTGAGATCGCCATAAAAACGGATGATTTTAGTAATTTTATATCATTAAGCCTCACCTATTTGTGAGTCGCCTAAGAGCTAAGAAAATTATTTGTTTGCGAGAAGAAAATCAACTTTTTATTATTCTGTTCTTGGTCAATTATCATTAGGACAGTTGTGTGGATGTAAATTTATGTTACTACAAACATAAAAGGATCGTACCTTAATTGCAAAGTGCTTTTTATGAAATGGAAATGTCGTCTTACTCATTCCGTAGCACTTTGAAGAATTGCATTAAGTGAAGAGTTTTTACGAGATGTTGATGGATCAGATAATTTATAGGTTAATCTAATCGATTAAACGTATTACTTGCGGTTTAACGAGAGAATGAAGGACAGAGTAGCAATTAACAACAATAAACTATACAAAGTAATATTGTAATAAAGTTGACTCCGATCATTGGTGAATCGCTTCATTAACCCGGAAGTCCCTTTTCATTATCAACAAAAACTGGTTACACCTATTTTACATATTCTGCTCCATAAATCTTCAGAGCTTGCCATCGTCCAAAACATCCTTTTGGAACGTACTACTTGAGCGATTTTTTCATGCAAAACCAAGTTAATTCTGTAGATAGAGTCATAGATAAGTTGAAAACCGCCTCGGCTTGTTTGAAGGCACGGCCTTGGCTTCTGTAACAATTGCAGCGTGACTTTGAGGTTGTGGTACAAGGCGATTTCCTCTGCATTCCCATCGGTCAAGAGGAAGCTATGGGGTTCATAATTTCTTCTTTATGATCATTTGCGTATGTCCCGTTGGTTGGTCAGTTGGTCGCGATGACTCTACCATGGTACGAGTTCGAATTCCGAACGTCTGCCCTCGCCCGTTTTAGCCGCAGGTGCCATCGAGATTCTTTCTACTTGTTCCTTTAGTTCAAGATGCAGCGACCTTATAACGTCAAAATTGAAACGGGCAGGT